TTTATTTAATTTGATATGTTTATCAAACAACTGCGGGGCGCGCCGTTTATTTCTCTCTTTATTCCAAAGGATCTTTGAGCAAAAGTTTTGTTTGGTTGCAGAGTCGTGTGAAAGTATGGACCCGAATAAATTGATTCCTCCTCGGCATTCCTCGATGGTGACCAGGGTGACGGCGGCGGGGTGTCTGCGCGGCGCGGGGTCAGCGCGGGCCGGGGCCGGGCGCGCCGTAGAATGTAAATCCCGTGAAATGGGGAGTAGTGTGACACACCCAGCCCACGGCCCGGGCCCGGGCCGGCGGCTTCGGCGGCTGGGGTGTCCACCTATTCCATTACAATCTATTAGAAGACGCTCGGCGACGCTGTGCGAGGATAAATTATGGGAAAGAAAACTGTTGTTCAAATTATAGGCTTAGGTTCGCCGCGCCGCCATATAGGCTGCCATAGGCTGCCATAGGATAATGAATACACGCCCTTGTCTTCGATGGGAGATAGGACGGGCCCGGCCGGGCTGTCATGGGCGCGACCCGGGCGCGTGGATGCATGCGCCATCACGGACGGGTCCCATGGACGGGTCCCGTGGAGCCCCGCTGCTGCCGCCTCCGGGGTCCGAATCGAGTCGGGCGCGGGCGAGCATTCCACGGGGCCAGGGGAAGAGTTCTGAGCAAGACGGAACGAAACGTGCAAGAGAGGAGATGAGGGACATGTGCTGGTGCAGGAGCCACTTCATAAGCAGCCGGTGTGCGGCGTCCTTGCTCATCCTGTGCCGTACCTCCCTCTTCATTGACCTATCTGAATAATGAATGAACGGGCAGCGCTGGGCGGCTACTGCAACGGCTGCTGGACAGAGTCGTGTCATCGGGGTCCCCAGCAGCACGAGCCGCCCGCGGCAGGGTCCCCGCACCTGCTTGCCTTTCTATTCCAGCGCCGCACGGCCGGCCCCTGCTGCTGCCCGTTGTGCTGATCCTGCTCCTGCCCCTCCTGCTGCCTCACATACATCCCGTGCTGCTGCCCGTTGTGCTGCTCCTGCTTCTGCCGCTCCTGCTGTCCCTCATACATCCCCTGCTGCTGCCCCTCCTGCTGTCCCTCATACATCCCCTGCTGCTGCCCCTTCTGCTGTCCCTCTGCTGCTGCTGCCAGTTGTGCTACTTCTGCTCCTGCCCCTCCTGCTGCCCCTCCTGCTGCTCCTGCTAGTGCCCGTTGTGCTGCTCCTGCTTTTGCCCCTCCTGCTGTCCCGTCCTGTTACCCTTCGTGCTGCAGCACCTGCTCCAGGTGCTGCTGCCCCTCGTGCTGCTTCTCCTTTTCCCGCTGCCCCTCGCGGTGCTGCCGCGACTCTGCTTTATATGGGCGCCCATTTCCTAGTAGAGTAAAAAGTAAGAGTAAGTCTCTAGGTGTGTGTGTTTGGCGGAAAACGTTGGACCCGGCGTGCGTGATGTAAAGTCCGGGAGGGAGCGCGTTCTGGAGCCGCTCTGATAGGCTGCTAATGTATTCCTAATTACTCCACGGGCGCCCACCGACCGATCCGCACCGCGCTGGCCGCCAGCGGCCGCCAGTGACGACACGCCCGTCCCGCATCTCAATCAGAGCATTTAGACGGGGGGCTTATCTCTGACAAGGTCGGCGTCGACGGTCCGCCGTGTGTGTTACGCACGTGTGTTGCTCGTCCGCGCGTAGTCCTGAGCTTGAGCTCGTGTGTGTGTACTTCCGACGTCGTTTGATCACCGCGTCCTTCTGTTTTGACCTCGCGGGTGGTGGTGGTGGTCGCTCGAGGTGTGTGTCTCCAGGGGGCAGCTCTCTCTCTCTCTCTCTCGTGTGTCTCCAGGGGGCAGTCTTATGGATGCGGCTGCCACGCCCCGCCACGCCACGGCCAGTCACGAAGCGCCGCTGGGGCTGCGCGCCGCTGTACCACTGCGGCCGTGACAGTGAAGTGACAATGCCGTGACGGGGGTGTGACGGGTGTGACGCACAACGAGGCGCTGGCGGCGCGCCAATGGGATCCTTTCACTTGTTGGCGCGCGGCGCAGAGGCTACCCCTCACTACCCCTTTCCCCTTTCACCTATCCTACCCTCGCTCCGAATAATGGAGGGTTGCGGAATAAGTTTGGAAGAGGTTGGGCGAGTCCTCTTCTCTTCCTGGTCGTGACGCGATTTATATTTTGTGACGCGCCGTAGCCGAAGAGAGCAACCCTCGACGCTGGCGCAAAATTTATTCAAATCACATTTTAATTCCCGCAGATTTGTTGTAGGGCCGTGTGAACCGTGTAAGCCCCCTGCCGCATGCAACTGAGTGCCAAAGAGTGGGCAGGATGGACGATCCGGAAAATCGCACCTTTTGGTTCTTGCGTGGCAGCGGCGGCGGCATCGCACCGACCTAACGAAACAAAAGCAAATCGGAAATGATAATCCGCGGCGTAATAATTCTCGCGCCAAGGGCGTGAAAAATGCAACACGTTTGGGGTCGATATGTGGGTGGTACCCGGGCGGTACCCGCGGTGTGGGTACGTGAGCGAGAGGCTGCGCCATTGTTTTTATTCAGTAAATCACGACGCATGTGGATGGATCACAATCTCGCTCCTCGTTTCATCTGGTCTGGGCCGCGCGGGCACCGTGGCGGGCACCACCCGGGGGGCATATCCACACGGCGCGCCCGGCTGGGCGGGGCCGGCCCGGGTATGAGGCACTTTAGATCCCTCGTGTGATGGATCTGTTTGTCGCCAGATACCACCAGGACTATACAACTGCGAAATTTTTGCCAGGGTGGGTCGCACGCGCGCACGCTTCCTCCATCTGTGGGGAAATGTAGAAATGTGGCAGACGCAGAGTTTGTGTTCGCGGAATAGGAGGGGTGCGTTTTGGAAGGGGGGTTAGTCACGTCACGTTTCGTGACGGTGTACGCCCGTGTCCAGTCCGTATGGTCTGGCCACGTACGACTCCTGATGATACCATGCTGCGCCGCGCGCGCTGCGAGAGAGGCTCTACACTCTCATAAAAAAGACGTCAATTACCGGGGCGACTCTCGGTGTTCCCGAGGCGGGCGCAATTTGTCATACCGTACGGGTGTTTTCCTTTTTTTCGTGACAAACAGCCAGCCAGTCCCGCGCGTTGGGAAAAGAAGTTTGTTTCCAATTTCCAGAATGGTGAAGCAGCAGGTGTGTGGTGTGGTGCGTTTTAAATCAAAGTGAGGACGCGAGAGGGTATTTGAATATAGAAAAGGGACTCCGAGACAAGAGGCCATGTTTAATTTATTTTCACGTGAGCCTCGCTGGACGTGCATGTCGCGGCGCTGGGCTGCCCGCTCTGGTCAGTCGCCTTCCCCTGCCATCAGCAGATCAGGGAGTTGGTCGTCCGTGCGTGGCGCCCGAGATTGCAGTCATTTCACATCCCACGGCCGCAGCCCCCTTGTCGAGCCCTTTGTCCCCTTACGCACAAGCTGCTCGCATGCTGCACCGGCTGTGCGAGTAAAGTACCTTCTAACCTCCGGATGATTAATTTGGGCACAAGCTGCCTTTTATTACCTTTCACCGCGTATTTCTCATTTTCCCCAAACCCTGTCTTGATGTTATTATTTTAAATGTGGAGAAACAAAGCTGTGTACTTGCGACAAGGACGGCGCCCGTGCATACGAAATGAGTCGCCCGCAGCACTCGGCCGCCATACTGGCGAGCCGTCCGTCCGTCCGCCGACGTGTCCGTGCATCCATCTACCCGCCCGTCCGCGTTGTTGTGACAATGTCGAGGGGTGCCCAACTCGAAAAAATCGTGTACACCTGATTACCAAAAAGTGATGATTACCAAGGATTACCAGAGACTACCGAAGATTACTGAAGATTACCCATGATTACTAAGGGTTTCCGAAGATTATCACTGACAAAAGATTACCAGAGATTACGAAAGATTGCCATTGATTACCACAGATTACCAAAGATTACCAGTGATTACCAAAGATTACCGGTGATTACCAAAGATTTTTAGGAATTTCCTTGCTGGATTACTTAGTGATTACCAAAGATTACCTTGTGATTACCAACGATTACCTGGTGATTACCAACGATTACCTAGTGATTACCATGGATTACAGGCGATTACCATGGATTACCGGTGATTACCAAGGATTACTGGTGATTACCAAGGATTACCGGCGATTACCAATGATTACCGGCGATTACCAATGATTACCGGTGATTACCAGGGATTACCTACTCTGTGTACACCTGATTACCTCAGTTGGGCACCCCTCGGACAATGTACTGGCGTGTAATCTGATGTGGACGAGATATCTCGGCCCGCCCGGCCCCGCCCCTCTCAGCCTTGTGTGACGGCCATGGCTGCCGGCCGCCCCGCCCCGCCACCACCTGCTCAAGGCTCTGCTCATAACGCCTTTGCCAGAGAAAAATTCTTCATGATCACCTCAGACAAAAGTAACTTCCAAAGGCTAAAACTGCACAGCCGCCCTTAGGCCAGTTTTTGCATGCAGGATCTGAAACTGGGGATTCATCTCATGAGCCTGATCTTTGATTCCGTCACGCTCAAATAGAATTCCGTGCATTAACCCGACCTGGCCCAAAGTCGGGGTGAATCACGGGAGATGCGCGCGGAGGCTGTGCCTGGCTGCGAGGTCCCTCCCTTACCCCGCCCGCGCCCGGCCTTGCCCTTGCGCCTGTTTTCTCACGCTGCGCGGCGCGGCCAGGGCGGCGCGGTGCCGGTGCGGGGGTGTGGCTGGCTCCGTACATAAACACGGCGAGCTCAGTGCCCCGGGGGTCAGAGCGGTTGACCCCCCCGAGCTTGTCCACTTTACAGTCCGGTTAGGGCCCTCCTCTCGTTGGGCCGTGTCGGGCGGGCGGGGCGGGTTGTGCATCTTGTGAGGGAGTGAGAGAGAAGGGATGCTGGACGCTGGCGCGCGCCCCGCCGGCTTCGTCACGGCCGTGCGTGGCGCCTGTGTAGCGCGTTGGCTGTGGCAGTCAGTGTCGCCGTCCATCTAATTCGGCTCGCCCGCTCTCTGTTGCAGTGGGCCTCCGTGGCCGCGTCCTGGCTGATGCGCCCCGATGGGTCCAGGGCCAACGCCGCCACCGGGCCGCCAGCCCCGGCGGGGTTCATGGCGTTTCCCGGGACGCCGCCGACGCCGCGCCACCTCACCGCGCAGCCCCCGGCCGTCGCCGCTAGGTCTCCGCCGCCGCTGCCGCCACCGCCCTCGGCGCCGACCAGAGGAGGACCGCTGCAGAACGGCGACCACCCAGCGCCCACCATCAGCACGGTGAGTACTGCGGGGGCCTGCAGGCTGCGGGTGCCGTGGGAACGGTCGCCCGCGAGGTGTCGCTCCAGGGGAGCAGGAGGAGGAGGAGGGAGAGGAGTTGACCCCGGGCCGGCGCGCCGCCAGGACGGAACCGGAGCATTGTGTCCGCATGCACCACGTACGTGAGGGGCGCCAGCCGCGCCACGGCTAGACAATGCAGCTGGACAAAGCGGCCCTCACGCGTCCGGCCCGGCCAGCCGGCGAGGCGACGGTAACTCTGGGGGATATTTGCCGCGGGATGATCGCGCCGAGGGTGCGCTGCGCGCGGGGAACAATGGGGGCCCCAGCCCGGCCCCTTGACATGTAAATCGATTTGTTTGGCCCCCGGCGCCCCGCCCCGCCCCGCCCTGCGCACCGCCCCGCCCGGCTGGCGCTGCCAGGAGGGGCGCCGGTCACCCCTTTTGCACACACACACCTGCCCGGGGCGCGAGGGGTGGTATTGGCACGCCGAGCATACAGCACCGCGGGCGGGCAGCATCAGTGCAGCAGGGGTGGCGGCGGTGGTCAGCGGGGGCGAGAGCGGGGGCTGGCGACAGACCGTGTGTTTACCTTTCACCCCGCCCGCTCCGCCCCCACGCTCTGCTGGACACGCCGCCCCCGTGCCGCTGCCGCCCCCCGCGCCACCTCCGTGTTGTCCACCACGCTTCCAATCGAACACCTGTCAATACAAACACACACGGGGGTGTATACCGCACGAAAGGGCTAATCGAACCGACATTATTCACAAGTGGGAAACAAGACAAACACGCAGTTTTTCCCCGCTGGCCTGTGGGCGAGCGAGCCTTTCTACGTATATCGCCTCCCCCGCCCTGCCGCCCTCTTCGGCCGCCCCTCCCCCGCCCCCTCTGCTCCTTACCGCACCCCCGACGGTCCGTCCCTCGGCGGCTCGTCCCACGAGCAGCGCGACCCGTCACTTCCTTCCTCCCCTCGTTGTAACGTCGCCGTCGTCTTGACGGCTTTCTGCTTGTCACAACACTGTCTTTTTGTGCCCGCGGCACCCAGTGTGCTTGCTCAGCGGCGCGCGGCGTTTGTCACTCAGGAGGGCTCCGGCCCATCCCCCCTCCTTTTCCCACTACCCACCCTCCCCCTCCCCACCCCTCCGCGATGCATCCACTACTCTATCAATCACGCGGGATGCAACCCCCGGCCGGGGTCCCGCCCGCCCCGCGGTCCATTCACAGCTTCCCATCCGCGCGACGACGTGACGCTGCTCCCGCGATGGATGGAGATGAGCTGTTCGCGCGCGCCGCCCGACGCCTCAAATGAGGCGGATATGGATTGTATTCAAATTGGCAACATCATCAATTCAACCCCTTTTCCAGACCCTGGTCTCCCCGCTGCGCCTCACCCCTATTTCTCCCTCACGCCCCACCCTCTGCCGTCTGCTCCACCTCCACGTCGCCAAGGTGACTTTCCCGAGCGCTGCTACCCCTCCTCCCCATGTCTGCGTTTCCTACGACGGCCACCTCGTGCTGGTGGTGGCGCTTTTTGCGGGGGTCAACGGGGGCGGCTAAAGGTCGGGGTCTGCTGACCTCTGTTTGTACTTCTGTATGTGTGTTTCGTGCGGACGAACGGACGCGCTGCCCCCGCGGGACCGGATGGAACCAAAAAACGTCCGGCCCAGCCTCGCCCCCGCCCTTCCCCCCCCTCCCGCCCACGCGGGTGCATGTGTGTGTTATTATTGTCGTGTGAGAGCTTTTTGGTATCGTTTGGCGCGCGAGTCTGACGGTGCCATTGTTCCCCCGGCGGCGGGGGTAATTAGCGGTAATCTTTGTGTTTGGCGGGGAGCCTCGAATGAAGATGAATCAGGGCGAGTGTGTGTGTGCGCGCGGGCATGTGCGGACGCCCCCGCCCGGAAGCGGCTGCCGTGCCCTGGCCGGGTGGGGCCGGGCCGGCGGCGCAGTTTTGGTGGTAGCGAGTCCACCTCGGCGTCATTACGGGGCCGTATCCACCTGGGCATCTGCGGGGCCCGGCCGGCCTTGTTATGAATGGAACTAGGTACACAGTGGGTTAAATACCGTGGATTTAATTGTACCCGCGGTAACGAGCTGTATTAAGTAGCGGGGCCCCCGGCGGGGCGCGGCACGGCCTGGCGTTGTTCTCTGCAAACAAGGCGCCTCCCGCGCTGCGCATTGACTAAGCCTGTGGTCGGGAAGGGTCGTCTCCTGCTCAGTCACAGCGGCGGCGCGGCTGGGCCGGGCCGGGCAGGGCGGGGGGCTTTAGCAGCGCGAGGAAGAGAGAGAGGCAGCGACGGAGAGTCGGAGAGCGAGTGGGGCATCTCGAGGAGTGGATGGCATGGCGTGGCGTGGCGTCTCCTAGCAACCAACTTGCTAATTATTCCACCAACTCAGCAGGCAGGCGGCGCCCGGCCCGGAGCCAGCCCCACCGGGCCCGCAGTAGTTCGTCACTTCCACCCCCCGGCAGCATCCCCCCGTCCTTGCTCCGCTCCGCCCCGTCCTCCTCCCCGTCCTTCCCAAAACCCCTCTTACCTTGTCGCTCATTCAAACAACGCGGCGCCATGCAGAATTCAGAGGTGGATCTCCCAGGCAGGCAGGCAGGCAGCCTCCGGTGCTTGACAACCTCTTTCCTCTCCCCTTTCATATCCGTCACCGTCACCCCGGCACGTTGGTTCGGAACACCGCGCCGCTGCCCTTTTCGCCTATCTCCCTCTCCCTTCCTCCCCCATCGGGGCTGCAAGTCACTCATTGATTATGCATGTCTGCGGTGACGCGGCGGAGCGGACGGACCCCATAAGAGCTTCTGTTTCGGATGAGTTTTGGCCGCGACTTTTTGCCCTGTTTTGTTTCGCGTCTCCGCTTGTCGCAGTGTAAAGCGGGCTGCTGTAGGCCGAGCGGCCGGGGGAAGTCCTCTCCTCCCGGGCTGTGGGTGCTCAAAGGCTCGGAATGAGAGGAGAGCCGCGGGGTGATTTGGAGGGGATTTGGACCAGAGCAGCCCAGCCTCCGTCCCGTCGCGCCTGAATGGACTGGCTTCTCTCCTTGATGACGGTTGCCTTGTCCTGCCCCCGCTCTTGCTGCTGCTGCTGCTGCTGCTGCTCGAGGTGGTAGTCATGGTGGTTGTGTCCTCGCGGGCACGTCACGAGCGGGGCGTGGCGGGGCGGGGCGTGGCGCGATGACCACACGCAGTGGAAACTCAAGACGCAGTCAATTCATCATGCCGTTGAATAGCGGGACGTCGCGCGGCCGCGGCCCGCTGTTCTGTTGCGCGGAGTGGCGGGGCGTGGCGGGCCGGGGCGCTACGCCCGGGGGAGCGGTGACGCGTGGCATTGGGACGACGGTCTCCTGGAATATCGGGGGCCCTTGCTCTTGGGGCTGGAAACTGTGGTGCTGCTGCTGCCTTTGCGCTGGTCCTCTGCCCTGAAATAAATGCAGTGCTTCTTTGATTTATTTATCTATATTCGTACTGTTTTTTTTTCTGGTGGTTTTGTTCTCGCGACTTGCGCAACTTTGAGCGCTGCTCCTGGACTGGCCGCGGCAGATGGACTAGCTCTATTTGCTGTTGCGTCCAGTCCCCCGTCCCCCGTCCAGACCCCTGCCCCGCGCCGCGCGCTGCTGCCATGTTGTTGCGTTTTTGCAGCTAGAGTCGCGCTGCTGCTGCTGTTGTTTCGATCGTAATAGCGGATGTAATTGTGGCTGGTGCCCCGTTGTAGCGCCGCGCCCGCCCCGCGTCCGCCGCGCCCGGGCCCAACAGCTCTGGAGTGGAATTCACTCGCAAGATAAATGACACGCGGTATACAGTCCCGTGCTACGCCTTCCCCCTCTCCTTCTCTCGCCTCAACGCCAGGCCGCGACAGGTATACTGTGTATACTGGTAATCTCGCGTCACTGTACCGTATACACCGCGCCGTGTACCCAGACATTGGCTCACAATGCTTCAGCCGTGTGTATGTATATACACACTCAAATACCATCAGCATAACAAAAATTTATAAACCACTCTGATGACAATATTCATGGCCAAAAAGGGTTCCATTTTTTTTTTTGCGGTAATGTCCCTCTCCTTATTCCATCTATTCCAGTCCTTACGCTCATCTGACTGGTCGACGTGGCTGACATCCCCAACCATCCGCGTCCCCCATCAATTTTTTTTTCCGGGTCGGTCCAGACTGATTGCTAATATTTTGCCCAGCAGCAGCAGCCCCCCGACGAACCGCCCCACTGCCAGGCCAGCCGACCCAAGGCAGGGTGACTCGCGCCATCTCGAGCAGCACCTGCGCCGCCGGGACCCCGGCTAGGCCAGGGAGGCTCCTGTGACGAATTTTTCTCGTTGACGTGGAGGTGCGAGGAGAGGCGCGCGTTGAAGGTGTCAGGTGCTCTCCAGCGCAGCAGCGCCCGGGCCTGTCCCGCGGGCCGCCGTCCCGGGCCTCTCGAGGAGGCCATGCCAGACACTGCAGTGTCAGTGCGTTTCCGATGTCCAAATTGGTCCTTTAAAACGTCGCCATGACTTTCACATTTTCTCTCGGTCGCCCTTTTGTCAGCCTGCTGAGTGCCGGGCCGGCCGGGGCGGGGCCCCCATTATATCATTTCTATTTTTTATACATGCGCCCGCCGCGCTGCTGCTCCTCGCTCCTCCTCTCCTCCTTTTCATCCTGGATGTCAACACTTATTGGCAGCTGGCTGCCCCGTCTCCTGTCGTGTCGTCCGGGGCGCTTGGGCCCCCGGCGCGATGGCGGCCGACGCTCACCTGTCCTCCCCTCCTCCCTCACGGCCCCCCGCTGCGCCCCCCTGCGGGGGTGGGTGACGGTGACACGAGTGGGCCGCGCCGTATCGCCCCATCACTTTACCGGATTGTTGACACCGCGTTTATCTGCCGCTTACAAGCGACTCTCCCCCTACGAACAAGCCTGATATCACTTTGCACAAACACAACGGGAGGGAGAGAGATAGAGGGTGCGGCAGCGGGAAAGAAATAAAAAAAACTGTGGCGTGGGGCAGTAGC